ACATCTGCACATCACTGTGATTGCCGTAAGGCTTATATATCTGCCAGCAAATTAAAGCATACATAAACTAGAATAATTTCATTCTGGCATGAAATGTGACATCTCCAAAACAAGAAGCTTCTTATGGCAGCAACAGTAGAACTACTGCTTTAATTATTACCCATTATTGCTCGCCTGACCCCTCTTCTCATTAGGATCATATAAGCAAGTCCTATTTAATCACTTCAAACAAGTTCCACAAGTATGTTTACCTTGTAAAGACTGGAGAAAAGCTCTAATTTTTCTATGAAATATTTCAAAACTAAATCAGAAGTTACCCACATTTCTTGTAGAGGATAAAATAAGATTCCCAGCAATCAAAAGAAATAAAAAGCTCAGTTCATTAAAAAAAAAAAAAAAATCAATTCTGTAGTGTTCAACAGTAACAGAAAAGAGCAGCTACTGTTTTCATGTCTGAGCTCTAATTCTCACCCATGGAAATGAAAGAATTAAAAAAGGATTTAAAGATGCACCACTGCATAAATATGCAGTTACCTCTGCCTCCTGTTAAACAAGTGTCAGGTGTTTCCCCACAGTTAACAGTGAAAGTGATATTTGGATAATCAACATGTCTTGTTAACCTTAGAAATTCAAACCACGACTTCTGCAGAATTAAATCCCACGGACTGTCAGAATGTATCCAGAGCTCTGAATAGGTAAAGTTGTAATTCCAGGAGTGTATTAATATTGCAAATGAATTTGACATTCATATGTGTACTGCCTGTCACAATAGCTATTTAGAACAAAGTGTTAGAAATCCAATGAAGTCTACCAACCTCCCACTTTTAAACAACAGTAAATGATTCCCCTTTCATTTGGAAGCTTACATTGATAACATCACCAGATTATTTTTCACCCACTCATCTGTATCTCAAATTTTCTGAGTTCTTTTCATTAACTACAACTCATCTGCTCTGTTACTTTTACATATACATATGCATGTCTCTTTTTACTATTTTCACAATATTTAAAATTGTTGCAAGTCCATTCTGTTTTCCTCAGTCTGCTAAACACATACACTGTTCAGCTAATCAGTAGAGCCAGAGAATCATATTTCCAAGACCTTATTTTCACATTCGGAACAGTTTCAACGATTTCAGTTCCTAGTGCCTAGTTCACTAAGCAAAAGAAATAAACACATAAATAAATTATTGCTTCTAAACCAGCAAAGTATCAGAAAGGCCTCTAATAATAATTTCATGGAAATGTAGTTACCCACGCTGAAATTGTGTATCTCAGGGATAATTCCACAGAAGACAGTGTCAAATGTCAGTCATTACTCATTGTACGAGAGACATCACTATCTGGCCAGTAATTCAGGGACTCATTCTACATATCTTTATCAGGCAATTTTAATTTACATAAAATTTAATCCATAAACATCATGTATATTCATTAAAGCCTGTAAACACCACAAAATTGCTTGATACAAATGCCTTAATCTTAGTCAATGAGAATTCCATTTAACTTCATCAGGAGTCTGGCACGTGGGCTACAACAGCATGTCCCTGGTTAAAACAAGAGACATGTAGTAAAGCCAAAACACAAAAAGAATTTGCTTCCAGTAGCAAGGTGGTGTATGGTTAGCGCTATACAGCATGCCAAGTTACCATTCTTCTTCCAAAAAAGAGTCTCATGTGCTCTGGTAAAACATGGGTTTGACACTCAGTGATGCAAATGTGCCAGTGGTGATGGTTGGTGATAATGTAGTCAGCTATGCTGTCTTTAACTCTCTCTGAGTCTCTAATATAGCTGGGGCAGAATAAAATACCTAACAATTCCTTTTCTGTGTGTGAATTAACCTCAGCAAAGGGGAGGAGACCCTGCTGAGTTCATTATATTGAATACTATAATATGTATTTGTCTCTGAAACTGCATTACGTTAACTGAGAATAATGCAACCCTTATTTTTCGTACATATAATAGCTTAATGAGCCATTAAAATGTCCAGTATTTAAAGCATACAATAAGATCTATAGTTTAAGCTTCAGAAATCATCCAAATATCTTACAAGTGCTAATAGCACTATTGAGAGGAGAAATCTAGCCTTTTTTTATTTTATGTTTTTAAATTCCTGTTTCATTCTATTTCACCAAATGCATTTAGTTACAAAGAAAGCAGGAGAAATCTGCAATACTGAATCAAGTAATCTTAAGTTTGGAAAGTCAAAAGAGGAACATATATGGTGAATAATACCCTGCTTCTCAGGTCTCAGGAAATTCAACTCATTTTCTCTTACACTTTCTCTAGTTCATTAATCAGAAACGTCTTCCTTTCTCACTGATCAGATTCCATAAGGATTCTATCCCCTTGGAAGCCACAGTATCCATCCACAAAGGGGCCATGTGCTTTCGCAATGACCTCCAGAGCTCCCAAAGTTTCATACAGAACTGCGTTTAGACCTCACGAGAACTCCCCGGTACTCATGGAGCCTGTGAGTGTAGACGAGGGAGCCACTGGTTCACCCTCTCCACTTTTGTCTGCAAATCCCAAAACATGCAAATGTGTGTCTGAAAGCTTACTACAACATAAGCTTACAACTGTTGCCAAACATTAAATCTCAAAGTGAAGCCCTTGTCCTGGTTCCAGCTGGGATAGTTAATATTCTTCCTAGTAGCTGGTGCAGTGCTGTGTTTTGACTTTTAATCTGAAAACAACACTGATAACACCAATGTTTTCAGTTGTTGCTCAATAGCACTTACCCTGATCAAGGACTTCTCAGTCTCATGCTCTGCCAGTGAGGGCCATAAGAAGCCGACAGGACACTTGACCCACACAGTCCAAATGGGTATTCCATACCACAGCATGTCATGCCTAGTATATAAACTGGGGGCAGTTACCCAGAAGGGCTAGGGCACTGCTTGGGTTAGGCTGGGCACTGCTCAGCAGGTGGTGAGTGATTGTACCGTGCATTGCTTGTAGGTTTGGCGCTTTTTGTTTTACTGCCGTCATTTCCCTTCTCAGTATTAGTGTTAATATTGATGCGCGGATTGACTCCACAACTCGTTAAAAGTTGTAAAGTAGGTATGCTTTTTATTCAGCGCTGAGACGCACGGGGATAATTCCTCAAAGTCATGCGTACCTCAGTGTTGTTTCCCTCTACATTTATTCTCTAAAGTTATATGTATATTCATATAAACTCTATAAAGTTATATATATATTCATAAGGTTGCACAATACGCCTATACATATTCATGTCCTATCCCCGCTTCGTATTATAATGAGCCAGAAGGTCCTCTGCGCCTGCGCAGTGCCCCCTCTGGTCATGGGCAGGGGTCTCAAGATGAAGTAAATGAGTCTTCCTCCTCTAGGTAGGGGTCTTCAAGATGAAGTAAATGAGTCTTCCTCTTCTTGCACTTTTCACCTTTTTTAGTCTTTACGTGTGGCCTTAGAGTTTGGTCAGTGTCCCAGCCGTAAATCCTCTACTTCTCCCCTTTATCAGTAGAGTTTGATCAGTGTCCCAGCCATAAATCCTCTGCTTCTCCCCTTTATCAGTAGATTCAGGCGTCTGCTTATTAACAGGACCGGAGGTCTCTGTTCTGCTTAGCAGGCATTTACAACAGATAGTCCTTTTGTTTAAACAAATTCCTCTAACCCCCTTGTACAACCCTCCTGTACAACCCCCTTGTACAATCCCCCTGTACTACCTCCCTGTACAATGGTCAACCCTCTGTATCAATCCCCTCTTTTTCTTTTAAAGTTAGTAAATTCTTTTACTATATTATTCATGACAGAGCTATCCATGTTCCATCAATTTTATACAAGGTACAATCATAAAAGGCCTTGTTTCAGTATGTCCCTGAACCATCCAGTAACTCCTAGGTTATTTAACCACTCATCCAATCTGCCTCCAACAATTCTAAGCTCTTGTATATTTTCCTGCAATTTTCGCAGCTTAGCATGAATTGATTCAGAATGATAAGTTCATGCAGCACATGCCTTTGAAATCCTCACAACCACGTCCATGGGCCAATAATAAAAAGTCAGTTGCTGCTTGGTTTTGTAAAGATACATGTCTTACACTGTCTGTGTCTGTGGCTAGCGAGGATATCACATCTGAAGTTATATTTAATTGCTTAGCCGCCCAACATGCCAAATGATGTATATCTGCCAATGCTTTCCCCGCAGCTACATTTGGTACAAATAATGCCACCAAAAGTCTTGCTGTGTGATTCCAGATTAAAGTGGAATCGCAATTCGGGCCTAATTGCCCAATGGATCGTTTGTTTCTGCGGAGGCTGTCCTTCATGTCCTGGACTAAATGTCTTTTGGAGGCTGCAAACAGGGACAATTTACCTAGATAACATGGTCCTCCAAAGGGTTTGGTAGGAATCCCTGGCCATGCATGGTCTCCACATATCAAGAAATATCCTGGGGGTAGAGCTTTAGGTATTGTATCGTCAACCCTCTGTATCAATATTATATTGTACCTTATTTCAATTACTAAACAGTTCTTAACTCACAGGTTTTATCTTTTCTTCCTATTCTCCACCCCATCCCATTGGCAGCAGGGAGGAGCAAGCAAGCGGCTGCGTGGTACTTAGCTCTGGCTGGGGTTAAACCACAGCAGCCCTTCCTATCACACATACACAACACACCCACGTTTGGGCTCTTAGTCTCTTATTCTCAGGAGGCAGCAACCACAGGAGGAAAGCTCTCAAATCACCAGTGGCCAGCCAGAGCACGGGCTGGATATTCCAGAACATTCCCGTCAAGGAACAGAGTGCCCCGAGCCGCTCACATCGCTCGTTTATTCAGCTCGCAGTTAAGCGGGTTGCCCTGCGGCAGACCTCCTGCACCCCCACAAGCCCTTACCGCGCAGAGACCCCTCACCGCACCCGACTCCCCACCGTCCTCCCACCTCCGAGCTGCGCAACCCCGCCCACCAGCGGAAGTGACGTCAGCGGCGCGGAGAGTAGGTGGCCGTGCTGATTGGCTGTTGTGCGATAAGGGGTGGGTCGCGTCGCTGCCGTTGGTGCGCGGATTGAAGATGGCGGTGGCGGGTGAGAGCCCGGTCCTGTCAGCTGAGGTGAAGGCGGTGGCCGCGGGCTGGATGCTGGAGTTCTCCTGCTGCTGCCTGTGCCGGCACTTCGGGGACGGGTGCTCCGCAGAGTTCCAGCGGTGGAGCGACGTGGCGCATGGTGAGGGGCGCATCTGTTGCGGTTCTGAGGAAGTGGGAGCCCGCGGCTCTGGAAGCGCTGTGTCCTTGCGGAGTGTGAGGAGTAGCTGTTTTTATCACAGTAAAGAGTGTCCTAAAGCACTAATAGTGCTTCTGCCCTTAGTATTTCGTGTAAGCACGTTTTATACGTGCGTATAGCCTTCTAATGACTGTGGTCGCTAGAAGGTTTTCAGCTCTTTTGAGGACTTAAGATTCTTACAGTACAGGGTTGTCTCTTGAGGCTATCTGCTGGCATCAGCAACGTTTGCACATGGTGGTAATGAAACAGTGGAGGCTGATTTTTTTGTTCACTTACTTAATCCACTGGTGTTTGAGTTTAGTGTGCGGTATGGCCGCTGTGCTGGAGTGGTGTAAACTAATCGCAGGTTTGGGGAATTTTAATGTTTTGGTCGAATGTTTCCAGGGAGGGAAACAAGCTGAACTATTCCAGTGACCTGTGGTTACTGAGCTGCTGGGTTGAGGGCTTTTAGATGATGAGGTGAATACAGGCATTGGTGTTAATCTGTCATCTCAGTTCTGTGAAGCTTAAATGTATAATGCAGTTACCTATGTACTGTCAGTGCTTATTTAAGCTGAGGCCTTATATGCTGAGAGTTCAAAACTACAGAAAAGTTAAAGAGGGTTTGATGAAGAGATGTAAATGTGCTAAAAAACAGGGTGGAATTGCTTAAATACACAGAGTTCCCTGAGTTTGTATTCAGGCTTACGGTACAAAACCTAGAAAAAGGTAGTTCAATTAACTCTTATCTAGCAGATAAAGGTGGAATAAACTCTAGTGACTGGATTTTGAATGAGTAAACATGCATTTTAAATGAAAAATACTTCAGAGTAGTTAACGGCTGGAAGCAAATATCCATGTCTTTTGACATTTTGTTAGAAATCTTCTTTCCTGAAGATACTAGGCTGGAGCTTTTGGGGCTTTTGGTTTGTTTTGGTTTTGTTTTTTCTGTGTCGTGCGTGTGTTCTTGGTTCAGGTTAATGTGAATGTGTGACTTATTTAAACTTTTGCAAAGAATGGAATACAATGGCATGTGAGAGGTAAGAAATCTAAAAATAATATAACAAAGTACATTGAATGGGGTGCTGCTTGATTAAATGATTAATGGGGCTTTTCCATTTGGCTTTGGGACTGTGGCTCAGTGGGGAAGTTGTACTGAAATTTCACCAAGATGTAGGATGGAAGCACTCGCTGTAACCACAGAAGCAGATTGGAATATTTCCTGAGAAGAACAGTTGGAGTTTTTAGGACCATATTGGTGGAAATTACTAAACTGAGCAAAACACAATGTCCCATGGAGCTGGAAACTAATAATGACTTTGGAATTTGTTCCTGCTTTGTTTAGCAACAGAGGAAAGTTGGGTGTACTCATGCTATAGGATTACAAAGTCATAAGTGTAAAAGTCTATGGAAAAAACTAAGCACAGGCATAAGACTGCATTATAAAAGTCAGTGTAGTTTTTTTCATAGAAATACAGAGAATACAGAGGTACAACTATTGCTTATGTCGCAGGGAGACCCTACTGTAATAATGTTTGGCTGTCAGTTCAAACAGGAGCAAGTGCAGAGAAGCAAGGTGGCTAAGGGAACAGGACGAGCTATTTTGTTAGGTAATAAAAAGTATTGCCATATAGCTCAGTACACTGCCAAGTAGAAATAGCTACTTAGCTGGAATTAAGGATTTAAAGACAGCATGGGAAGGTCATATGCTCTGCCTATGTCATCCTGCCATGACAAGGTATTGTGGTCAATATATCTGAACGAGCTTGTGTAGGTATCTACATGGTAAGGAACTGGATTTGTAAAGTATCTAGTGAAAGACTAAGATGAGAAATAGATTTGAGTGGCCATGGGGAGGAAAGCTTGTCATATAATTAAGGGCACTGCTAACTAAATAACAGAAACTGCCTTGGGGTGGAGAAGTAGAAGAGTCTAGAGAAGTACTAAGGCTATGTTTCTTTCTGTTTGTCTGCATTACCTGTGGGTAATTGCTGCTACGGACCTGCTGTCCACACAGTAAACCCTTCAAGGTTTCTGTTTCCCTTTGAAGTAGCGCTAAAGGACTTCAATGTGTATACTAAAGATGGCACCATTGTACAAACTGAACAGAAAGTTTGCATTTTAAGTGCAAAATTTAAATTTAAAAATGCACCCCTGCTCTGAACTAAAGCATTAATGTAGGTGCATCTTAAAAGAACAGAGAAAACTGAAAGATCTCAAGCTATTTGGCAGCTTTTAGCTTGTGGAATTCTTCAGCTGCAGTATTCTGCTGGCTTCCAAAATCTCCAAGCCCTGGCTCCATGTTCAGGCATTGTGAGAGTGCTTGTCTCCATCATTGAACTCATCCAAACTCTTTGAAATTGAACTCTCGTCAGCTGTGGAAGATGCATGAATTTGTGATTATAATGACTGGCACTTCTGTTCTAAGCAATGTGCTTTTACTTCCTATTTTGGCTATAGGCATTAAAAGCTCTGTCATCATTGAAGCAGTTGTAAATGTGTTCTTCCAAGCCCAAATGACATTATCCTGGTAATCATTCGGGGCTGTTTTAATTACTTTGTAATTTCATGCTTATCCATTGTCCATAGGTGACTGTATGCTAATAAGCAAGCAGGCTAAGTACTGCTTTCAAGTAGAACAGTGTTATGTGCCCTAGTTGTCATTGCAAAACTTGGGGGTCCCATGCCCTGGAATCCTGGCTTTTGCTAGGTTGACGCAGAAATGTATACATAAAAGCTTCCTGAAATAGGGTGTTCAGTCTGCAACTTGGATAAGCCACTTGAGATATTATTCACTTTTCATTTTGAGTGTTTGTGTATTATGCTGTCAAGATAAATTACTATATTCAACACAAAAAATATGAAGTTCACAGTAAGCCAGCATGATGGAAATAATCTCGTGATGGCTCCTATTCTAAAATATATAATAATGCTTGTGAGCTTCCAACCTTGCAAGGAAGATTTCCCTTGTAGGTTTACTTTTCTGACTAATCTTGTAGCTTTTGCTGCTTTTGGTCTGGCAGTTGCTATGGCAACATGTAAATGTTGTCCATCTGCATATGGTTCATGTTTTGTGAGCATTCCATATGAATGTTCCTGGAGCAGGCAATTGTCTTTCATAGTAAGTTGCCCAGGAAAATAAAACTTCACTTATGTATGCAAAATATGGTGGTCTTCTAATTTGATGATACATGCCTGTGATGCATCTTGCCACTTCTAGGCTACTGTTGTGAACTGCAAGAGAGGAAGGTTTTTCAGGTCAAATACTTTATTATGATTTAAGTTCTTCTAACATTGACAGATATTAACTAAATGCTTTCATCTGTTTCGTAACAAATTAGAAATTTAGTAGATTATTAAATCTCATAACGTAGTGCCTAGCATATTTCTAGCCACACTGTGGCAGTGCTGGAGCAAGACTGACTTAACTTTTCTTTTCTAGCTCTTATTAATGGCCTCTCGAAAATACCTACACATCAGGAAAAAACGGTGTATCTCTGTCAGCTTTTGATAAGGATTGCAAAAGGAAAAAAACTTGGTAAATACTTTTTTTTTCCTTCACATGTGTAAATAGATTTGCATGAATTTGCACAGAGCTATATTATATATGCTAATACCTTTATCTACAGTAAAGGCTATGTTTCACATAGTCTTACTGTACATATGTTTATGTATATCTAATAAAATGTCTGAACTCTACCTTTTGGATTATCTTTATTCCACATGTATGCAGGACCAGTGGTATTCTGTGCTGAGTGATTCCTACAAGCAGTGGGAATAAGAATATGGATGAAAAGGATGGCTTCCCTTGTTTCTTACAGAAAGCTGTTAAGGCTTATAGCTGGCTGCAGGTCCTTGGGACTCTTACTGTCATGTCTTCTGTTTGGCTGTATTTACAACTTGCTGGTTTAGCCAGACTGACTTTGCTTCCATGCTCAAGTTTCTGGAAAACTTAACTTTTTTGCTGATAGTTTTTACTGCTTGAAAAAGCTCATTGGAATTTAAGGTCTATAAAACCAGTCTTGCCAGCATGAGCATGGAAGAAAAAAAGTGTGACAGAAAGGATTGTTTTTATAAAATTAAATTTCTGATGTTACTTGTCAAGTAATAATTCACTTCTTCATTCAGTTCAACTTGAAGTATTTTAAATATTCAGATCTGGTTCTCATCATATACAAATTATGCAACTTTGCTGATGATGCTTTAAAACTATATTGTTGTATATAACACTTGTCAATATAAATTCAGTGTCTGGTTTTTGTCTAGCGGTGTAGAGAATGACCTGTATGGTAAGGAAGATTGCATGTGCTTAAGTGGGTATTACATCAGATGTAGTTGCACAATATACATGGAAAGCTAATACATTGTGTGGTAGCTCTCCTCATTTGTTTCCAGTTATTAAAATAATTAATCTCTATTGAGCCTTAAAGTAGAGTAGGCTGCTTCAGATGCCAGCTCTTTAAGTTAAACACTTTGGTTTTACAATATTATAATAACCTTAATATGAAGTGTCATTACTTTATTGAAACAGTAAGTAGGGAAACCAGAAGTGTGCTTTGTTATTGTTTTTTTGGGTTTTTGTTGTTCTGTTAGGTTTTGTTCTTTTTTTTTAAATATGTATATCTATACATATGATACTATTTAAATTTTCAGTGTTTGTCTTCTACTGTAGTGGGTGTCAAATATTTTTTATATTTTCAGCATTGCTTAAACTGTTTACAAACTGTCTGAAAATTACTGTAAGAAATAATTTTGCTGTGAGAGATTCTGCTATGTCATCTAAAATTAAGGAATAAGTAAGGCTGTGGTTCAGTGAACATCTTAAGCTAAGCTGGCAGTGTCACGGGAAAAAAAAAAAAAGCAGACTTGTGCATCTGCCATCTCCTACTGCATCTGTTATGTTCGCATACTCACTTGTGCAAGTGGGCAGTGACCAGACTGGGAAACTGTTCCTAGAGTGTTGAGGGTTATTTGGCTGGGCTAGATTTCTGCCAAAACTGCATCCTGCTTGCTGGGAGTTTGCACAAACCTTGATGTTGGCACAGCAGCACTATGACACAGGAGGTTGTTCTGCTTTTTCTGTGTTAAGCTGTTTGAATTTCCCTCTCACTTTAACCCCTTCTAATATAATGAAAAGTAAAAACACAGAAATATATAGACTTGAGGGAGAGGGACCACAAAAAACAAGCAAACCTTAAGACAGTGGTTACATTACAAAATTACAATTATCAATACCAAGTGTTTTGATATCTGATGCCAAACTTAATGCAAGAGTATTGCTAACGCCAGCCCAAATACAAGATGCTAAACTTAACGCTGTTGCAAGTTTAAGTGAACAGTAAATACAAGACGTAACCTCCCTTAAAAATGCAACAGTAATGTTACTAGCAAGGGCAGGAAGAACCAGTCTCTCTGAAAAGGAGGCATTTAACTTGGGTCTCTTAAACACACTTGAAGAGAGAGACTAAAAAATTGAGGAAAAAAGAATTGAAGTATAGTGTATATTACTTTATTGTGGGTGAATAATATATTTAGCTTTACCCTTCAAATTTTTAAAGTACTTTTTTCTATTTCTTCTCTTCCCCTCCCAAAGAATGCTATTTTGAAAATTCTAAAAGAATTTCACCTTTGGAATCTGCTCTGTCTTTCTGGAGTTTACTTGAAAGGGAAGAAGTCGAACTGGAAAAGCTTCATAAAGATATTCGTCAGTTGATTCAAATTCAGGTTTGTGTGACTTAAAATGCTTTAGGGTGGTATTCTATTAATTCTGCTAAAACAGGGCTCATTTTACAAAAAGTTTGGGCTATTAGCAGGCTGAACTAAATTTTCTAAGTTTGATGTACTTTCAGTACAGAGTAAATAGATCTGTACAGCAGACCTTTTCCTGTCTAAGTTGGTTCCTGTTTGTCCCAGTTCAAAATTGTTTCAAAAGCTGCCAATCTTAAAAAAAAATAAATTTAAAACCATTTGTATCTTGAGCTTTTAAATATGTTATTAGTAGCTTTTTTGTTTTTTCTTTGCTTAAAAATAATTATTTGTATTGGTAAACCTTTGCTATTGAACATGTGAAAACATGTTGACAGGTACTGGGACTGAAAATCTGGGAAAGATGAAAGCAATACTTGGTAGGTAAGTACGGGACATTTTAAATCAGTGAGAGTCCTTTTAAAAGCCTGGCAAAAAGGCTTTGGGCCTTTATAAGTGAGGTTTAATGCTATTTTAGAAGTTTTAAAACTAGGTAATTGTTGGTAACCCTTAAATAGATAATCTTCTGGATTTTGGAAGCCTTACTATTTAAGTGTGAATTTTCTTTTTTTTTCTTTTTGAATTTTCTGTTTTTTAATCTCTGAAATGTATTTCAGCATGTCTTGTAATTATATTTGTTGTAGATTGTAGCAGTCTATATGGAAAATGGATATTTCAAGGAGGCTGCTGAAGCTCTTGAAAGGCTGTTTACAGACTCAGAATCGGATAAGGTAATAACTTGCATTAAGCTCTTTCACTTTAAGAGGAAAAGAGAATGAGTTTCCAAAGCTAGCAAACGATACATGCAGAGCTCTGTTGTGATTGCTGCTTCTGCAGTCACCTACACACCTGTGGCACTTATGGATACAAAAAGAAATCTGTCGGTAGGGGACTGATAGAAATGATGGGTGGTGTGGGGGAGTAAAATGTTTCTAGCAGCAGTTGTTCTTCACTGTGGACAGCATCAGTCTGAACTTCATCTCCCATTTCACATAAGGTGTCACTACGGTTTCTGTGAGTCTGATATTGCTGTTTTCTCAGAGTAAAGACAGTATAAACATGCTGATAGAGACATAGAAATTCCCAAGTAATCAGTCTGACTTTCTCTGAACCATTACAGTGCACTCTATTTCTTCTGATTACTGTTCTACATACTAATGCATTCTGATTACTGTTCTACATATTGTTAGCATCTGTAGTATAGAGTGAATATTAGTATTCCTTTATCTGGAAAAGATAATGCGTAGGTCAGGCCACCTCCTGGTTTGATGTTGACTACATAATTCAGAAAGATACAAGTTTGAGTGTATATCTCTAAAAGAATAGCTAGTGCACACACCTGAATTTGCTGGGGTGGAGAAAAGAGCAAAGGACTATAGGCAAAAAGAAAAGTTAAAAATGCTGCCTCTATCTTCCGCTGGTATACTGGGACACGTGTTCTATATAAATAGTTCCATATCTGTAACAAAATCTTCAGATACACTCTTCAGATATTTGGAAAGTATAGTCTGGTAAAGTACTCGTTCATAAATAAGAATGCAACCTGTACATGGAAGTTGATTGTTGGATGTATTTGTCTCTTAAGATTTAAAGTGGTTGGTAGACAAGATGTAAAGTTATGTTTGTCAATATCAGGGTGTCCTTAATGCTATGGTACTAAATAGTCCTTTTCCTGAACATTGTGAACCCCTTTCAGTGGCAGTCTTTTTGAGGCAGTAAATGAGAAAAGAGAACGCAGTAATGAATGGCCTTTTCTTGGTGGTTTTGCTCCTTTGACAATCTTGCTTTTGGTGTTACACCTAAAGGGTATGAAAATAAGGATCTCTGGAAAGTTATATTTAACCACTTACTGAGTAAACTGGTATTGTGCCTAACTGACTTCAGAACCCTTTCAAAAGGTAGCATGAAGTTGGATAGGTGTATTCAGAAAACTCTATAATCATCATGTTTAGCTTTCTGTATGTCCTGTTTAGCATAGATGCCAAGTTTACTATAGGATACATTTGTGTTGTATAAATCTGTGTTTTTCTTAGCCTTTAAGGATGAAGCTGGCAACTGTAATTAAAAGCAAGGATCCGTATGTTCCTCTTCTCCAAACCTTCAGTTACAATGTTTTGATAAGTAAAATCAAGTCTTACATTGAACTTTTCATGAAAGAAAATGAAACTAACTTCTTATTACAGGTATGTCAAATACATTTTCAAATCTTATTTCAGAAGAGGTGCCTGATAAGATTAAATAGATTTATACTTTCGTATAGGTTGTTTAGACAATATTCAGTTACTGTATTAGAAGAAAAGGAAGTTTTTCTTTGTATTGTCTCAATTAAAAGAAAGGTTGAATGTATGTTTAGGAGAAAGTAGGAGTAAGACTCCTCTAAACTATCTCTCATGAATGTTTTTTCCACCACTTTTGATTAGAAAAAATAGTTAAGAAAAAAATAAGTAAAATGAGGTCCATCATTACTGTGTGCTTAAGAGAAGCAGTTTTGATCTCAGGCTACTTAAAAGATAATAAACTATATATTTGATGTTTATATGAATTTTCATGCAAAAACTGAAAGTTCAAGACCTGTTAATTTGACTGAAAGATTTAGGAATGTCAGAGGAGTTAGTAGATGGAAGATTGTTATTGCTGCTTTCCTGTACATAAAAAACTCCTTACAAACAGTCTTGCTCAGAAGTGGTTTAAGATGGGCAAGAACAACATTCCTCCTTCAGCTCATCTTCAGGAGGATTGTAAAGAATTTCTCTTATGTTTACTTCCTATAAAAGAATATTGAATTACTCAATTACAAAAGTGCAGACATCTAAAGGTAATAAGAAGTGCATTTTAAATAAACAAACTTGAAGTTCCTCTAGGGTTTTCATTTTCTTACCAGAAAGAGAGATTAGAGAACTTATACTTTGAATGCATTTAATAAGGAATACCTTTTAATAGTTTCAGCTGTCAGTTTCCGCATTTATTTTTCAAGGCTATTTCTTTGAGTCTGAGAGGAAGTGGAGATTTGGAGGTATCAGGAAAGGCCTGAAACTCCATATTAGCTTACCTAGGCCCTCTGTTTTGCACCCCCATTGCCTGCACATTTGTCGTGCTGTTTGCTAATGTTGCATATCTTACTTCTGAAACCTTTACATTGGACTGAGTTACTTTGTGGAGCATTCACACTTCTGCTCAGAGATTGCACAGAGCCCCTTGAGCCTGGCTGTGAATGTTTCTTGGGAGGGGGCAGATACCACCTCTCTGGGCAGCATGTTCCAGTGTTTCACCACCCTCATTGGGGGAAAAAAAAACACCCTTCCTTTTACCTAAATTTACTTTTTTTTCAGTTTAAACCCATTACCCCTTGTCCTTTTGCAGCAGGCAGGCCCAGCTAAAAAGTTTGTCCTCGTCTTTCTTACAGGCCTGTTGCAATAAGGTATCCACAGAGCCTTCTGAACAACTCCAGCTCTCTCTGCCTGTCTCATTAGGAGAGGTGTTTCAGTTCCCTGAGCATCTTCATGATGCTCGAGCAGGTTCATGTCCTCCTTATATTGTGGGCCCCCAGAGCTGTACTCCAAGTGGGGTCTTACCAAAGCAGAGTAGAGGGGGAGAATCACCTCCCTCAACCTGCTGGCTACGCTTTTTTGAATGCTGCTCCGGATATGGTGGCCTTCTAGGCTGCAGGTGCATGTTGTAGGGTCATGTTCAGTTTTTCATCCACCTGGTGGATCTATATTGCCTACTACGGTTTAGTAGGCTGCTTTTTCTAGGTTATTGTCAAGGTTGGAATCCACAAGCCGCTGGCCATCATATTTGAGAAATCATGGCAGTCAGGTGAAGTTCCCGATGACTGGAAAAAGGGAAATATAACCCCCATTTTCAAGAAGTGGAAAATGGATGACCCGGGGAATTACAGACCAGTCAGTCTCACCTCTGTGTCTGGAAAAATCTTGGAGCAGATTCTCCTGGAAGGCATGCTAAGGCACATGAAAATCAACAAGGTGCTTGGTGACAGCCAGCATGGCTTCACTAAGGGGAAATCCTGCCTGACCAATTTGGTGGCCTTCTATGATGGAGCTACAGAACTGATGGACAGGGGTAGAGCAGTTGATGTCATCTACCTGGACTTGTGCAAAGCATTCGACACTGTCCCACACGACATCCTTCTCTCTAAATTAGAGAGACATCAATTTGATGGATGGACCACTCGGTGGATAAAGAACTGGCTAGATGGCTGCACACAAAGAGTTGTGGTCAATGGCTCAGTGTCCGACTGGAGACCAGTAACAGGTGGTGTCCCTCAGGGATCGGTGTTGGGACCAGTCTTGTTTAACATCTTTGTTGCTGACATGGACAGTGGGATTGAGTGCGCCCTCAGCAAGTTTGCTGATGACACCAAGCTGTGTGGTTCGGTCGATACACTGGAGGGAAGGAATGCCATGCAGAGGGACCTTGACACACTTGTGAGGTGGGCTGATGCCAACCTCATGAAGTTTAACCATGCCAAGTGCAAGGTCCTACACCTCGGTCTGAGCAATCCCAGGCACAGCTATAGGTTGGGCAGAGAAGAGATTCAGAGCAGCCCTGCGGAGAAGGATTTGGGGGTGCTGGTCGATGAGAAAATGAACATGAGCTGGCAGTGTGTGCTCGCAGCCCAGAAAGCCAGCCATATCCTGGGCTGCATCAAGAGGAGTGTGACCAGCAGGTCGAAGGAGGTGATCCTGCCCCTCTACTCTGCTCTTGTGAGACCTCACCTGGAGTATTGTGTGCAGTTCTGGTGTCCTCAGCATAAAAAGGACATGGAACTGTTGGAACAAGTCCAGAGAAGGGCCATGAGGATGATCAGGGGACGGGAGCACCTCCCGCATGAAGACAGGCTGAGAAAGTTGGGGCTGTTCAGCCTGGAGAAGGCTGCGTGGAGACCTCATAGCGGCCTTCCAGTATCTGAAGGGGGCCTATAGGGATGCTGGAGAGGGACTCTTCATTAGGGACTGTAGTAACAGGACAAGGGGTAATGGGTTAAAACTTAAACAGGGGAAGTTTAGATTGGATATAAGAAGGAAATTCTTTCCTGTTAGGGTGGTGAGGCACTGGAATGGGTTGCCCAGGGAGGTTGTGAATGCTTCATTCCTGGCAGTGTTCAAGACCAGGTTGGACTAGGCCTTGGGCAATATGATTTAGCGTAAGGTGTCCCTGCCCATGGCAGAGGGGTTGGAACTAGATGATCTTAAGGTCCTTTCCAACCCTAAGGATTCTATGATTCTAAGTTTGCAACTCCTACTGTTGATGAAGCTATTGCACTTCAGAAAGCTCTTGTAGGTTAGCTGCCCCAAGAACAGTCTGCATGTAATGCCTTATGTCCTAGGTTTAGCAGTAGCAGTCAATATTTCTCCTCCTTGGTAGCTGGTGCAGTGCTATGTTTTGACTTTCAGCGTGGGAACAGTGCTGATAATACCCATGTTTTCAGTTGTTGCTAAGTAATGTTTACCCTGACCAAGGACTTTGAGAGGCTCATGCTCTGCCAGGGAGGAGGGGAAGCTGGGAGGTAGCCGAGACAGGACACCTGACCCAAGCTAGCCAAAGAGGTATTCCATACCACAGCACACCATGCCCAGGGGGATAACTGGGAGTTACCTGGAAGGACACGGGGTCTTCTGGGTTGGACTCGTTTTTCGGTGGGTGGTATTGTATTCTCTTCCCTTGTTATTTTCTCTTACCATTGTTGTCATTGGTGGTAGCAGTGGTGATTTGTGTTGTACGTTGTCTGTTGGACTGTTCTTGTCTCAACCCATGGGAGTTGCATTCTTTCAATTCTCTTCCCCATCCCTCTAGGAGCAGGGAAGGGGAGGGCTGCTTTGGGGGGGGGGGGGGGTGGGACGCGGGACGCAGGCCTCCGATTGTTTCCAGCACCACTCATTGGGAGTGAGTGAACAAGCTGTCTGGCTAGGTTAAAACCACGACAGTTCCTTTTGGATGTTGGTGGAGACATTGCTGTTATCTTGTTGATCACATCTGTGGGGATCTGTCTACGTCCATCTTGCCATTTTATTCCCAAAAATTGAATCTCCTGTGCAGGTCCCTTGACCTTACTCCGTTTTATGGCAAAATCAGCAGGATTTGAATTATTTTCCTCCCTTTCTCAAGGACTTCTTCTGCTGTGTCGCCCCACACAATAATGTCATCAATGTATTGCAGGTGTTCTGGAGCTTGCCCCTGTTCCAGTGCAGTCTGGATCAGTCCATGGCAAATGGTAGGGCTGTGTTTCCACCCCTGGGGCAGTCAGTTCCAAGTGAACTGGACACCCCTCCAAGTAAAAGCAAACTGTGGCCTACACTCTGCTGCCAAAGGAATGGAGAAAAATGCATTGGCAATATCAGTCGTGGCATACCACTTGGCTGCCTTTGACTCTAGTTCATACTGAAGTTCTAGCATGTCCGGTACGGCAGCACTCAATGGTGGTGTGACTTCATTCAGGCCACGATAGTCTACTGTTAGTCTCCACTCTCCATTAGACTTTCTCACTGGCTATATGGGGCTATTAGAGGGCGAGCAGGTCCTGCTGATCACTCCCTGACTCTCCAGTCTACGGATCAGCTGATGGATGGGAATCGGGGAGTCTCAGTTGGTGCGATATTGCCGCTGGTGCATTGTTGTGGTCACAATTGGCACTTCTTGTTCTTCAACTTTCAGCAGCCTCACAACAGAAGGATCCTCTGAGAGACCAGGCAAGGTGGACAGCTGCTCAGTTTCCTCAGTCTCCAAAGCAGCAATACCAAAAGCCCACCGGTACCCTTTTGGGTCTTTGAAGTACCCTCTCTTGAGGTAGTCTATGCCGAGGATGCATGGAGCCTCTGGACCAGTCACAATAGGGTGCTTTGGCCATTCCCTCCCAGTCAGGATGATTTCAGCCTCCAGTACAGCCAACTCTTGGGATCCGCCTGTCACTCCAGGGTTCCACCCCTTGACAGCTTGATGGCATCAGGGTACACTGTGCACCGGTATCTACTAGAGCCTTATACTTCTGTGGGACTGATGTACCAGGCCATCTGATCCACACAGTCCAGGAAATCCGATTGTCCCCTACCTCCACCTGGCTGGAGGCAGGGCCCCTCTAATGGTCATCACAGCATTGGACACTTAAGTCGTGTTGAAAGGGATTATTCTTCGTTATCACAGGAGCTGGAGTAAAATCAGCTCTTCCACTCCATCTGGGAAACTGCTCACCAGAGACTGAAGCCGTAGCTCTCATGGGACGATCAGTCTTGGCCCTTGCTCCCCTCTTCAATTCACTCACCCATTCCTCCAAAGCTGAAGTAGGTTTTCCATCCCACTTTGTCATGTCTTCTCCCGCAGGTAAAACTATAGGGTAGCCTGTGGCGTATACCTCCTATATCTCCTCTCTCGAACAATAGGACGCCTTTTGTTAATAGCTGAGATGTGTGTTGGTACACGTGACGAGCTGGATAAATCAGATAGATCGTCCCTCAATTGTTTGAGATCCTGGGACAGTTTTTCCACAGCTGAGATGATGGAAGGGGTGAGATTGTCTTCGAACTCTTGGAGTTTATGAACCATTTCATCCACTGTTAGTGGTACTATGTCATTCCAGGTTACTGTTGCCAATGAATGGGCATATGATGATGGTGCATTCCGTGTAAGTTTTCGCCACATGGGTCGTGTACGTTCAACATCATCTGGATCTATGGGTATATCCCCGTTATTCAGCTTGATGTGATAGATCATCTCTATGATGGCTGATTCCCTCAGAGACTGGATGCCTTTGTCTATAGTAGTCCACTTGGCCGAACGACTCATAACATCGTCCTCATTTAAGTGTTTTACTAATTCTTCTGGATTTTGCAGTTGTTCAGTAGTGAAATTCCAAAGTACTGGAGGGGCCCACTGACCTAGATACTTGCCCATACTATCCCACACACCCTGCCACTCATGGCTGTCCAGCCTCAGGGAAAATCTCTCGGTCCTCCTACATTGTCGTTTGACCCCAGACAAGACCCAAACCTGACTCTGCTTAACTCTTGAAATCAGTCATGGGCAAAACACACTCTGTATGCATGCCAGCATGGTGATCCCCATCACGATCAGCAAACACGTCTCAACAGCATTAAAAGGCCATTCAAAAAATTCAAAACTCTCAAATGATGCTGTAAATGGTCTGGGGGTGGGACTGGGAGGGTAAAAGAATGTTTCCTTCACAGGTTGACCCCCTGAGAAGGAGAAAAAAAGATGTGTAATTGCTAAGCACTTTTATTATATACCTCTCAAAGTATAAAGGTGGTGATGACACTGGGAACATAATGCCAGATCAGTTTCATGATCAATGATTCTATTGTATTACAAGTCATTACCATAAAGTACAATGAGACAAGAACCTTAGCCCAAGCCCCACACTTGAAAAACACTTAATACAACAACTACGGGCTCAAAGTAAGGTACCATATAATGAAACCGTGAGGTCAAGAAGAACAACTTTGAGAGCCAGTAAATCAGCACTGTGACAAGTGGCTGTTAATCCAGACACATCTGTTGTAATCTCAACCCTTCTGTGCCCCACATTGGGTCCAAAACAAAAGAACTGTCATGGTTTAAACCTAGCCAGACAGCTTGTTCACTCACTCCCACTGAATGGTGCCAGGCTGGAAGCAATTGAGGCCCAGGTCCCGCTGCATCCCCCTCCCCCCCCCCAGGGGCTCTCCCCTTCCCTGCTCCTGGAGGGATGGGCAGGAGAATCAAAAGAATGCAACTCCCATGGGCTGAGACAAGAACAGTCCAGCAGACAACGTACAACACAAATCATCACCACTACCACCAATGACAACAATGATAAGAGAAAATAACAAGGGAAGAGATTACAATACCACCCACCGAAAAATGAGTCCAACCCAGAAGACCCCGTGTCCTTCCAGGTAACTCCCAGTTACCCCCCTGGGCATGGTGTGCTGTGGTATGGAATACCTCTTTGGCTAGCTTGGGTCAGGTGTCCTGTCTTGGCTTCCTCCTGGCTTCCCCTCCTCCCTGGCAGAGCATGAGCCTCACAAAGTCCTTGGTCAGGGTAAACATTACTTAGCAACAACTGAAAACATGGGTATTATCAGCACTGTTCCCAGGCTGAAAGTCAAAACACGGCACTGCACCAGCTACCAAGGAGGAGAAAAACTGACTGCTACTGCTAAACCCAGGACACCTTACAAGGAAGAAAAACCTATACTAAGCACAGTTATTTTATAAGTACAATTTGAAGCCTACTCTTAACTATTAAAGCACAATATAGTGGATTTTTATTACTACCATCAGCCACTGTAAAAGAGCCAGTGTTTTGAAAATTTACAGCTGAAAGTTGTGGAAGTTTGGATAGTTATGAAATTTCTGACAGTGAAACGTTTTCTTCAGTGATTGAAAGTATTCTATAACCAGAATACCTTCTAGTACTTACATGGATGAATGAGTGAAATAGGGAAAGGTTTTGTATTATCTGACTTTTATAAATGTTGAGAGACTCTGCAAGCTACTGTGAAGGACAGGTTAAGATTTCAAGAAGACTGAAAACTGGATGAATGACAGAAAAACAACAGGAGGCAAAAGCAAGCCCTGGAAGAAGAAATAGGTGAAAACAGGAGCAACTGGCTAAGCAGAAAAAGATGTAATATTTAGCCTGTAATGGATCTGTCAACTTAGTAACATTTTGATCTGTTTTGCAACACCTAAATATCACTTGGGGTTATATAGACAGTGTTGGATAGAAGATGGTTGGCTCTGCTTAGTACTGGTTGTGCACAACCAGGTTTTATTTTATGGCTTAGGTAGTAAATATATCTTAAGATGCTAGGGAAGAAAGTTGATAGCAAAGTGGCAAAAGCAACATCATGTGGACTAATTTTAGGGGGTGGGGAAGCGATGGGTCATTTATTATAGCAAGTAACTGGGGGGGAATCTGGGGAAATGCAGGAATCTTACAATTCTCTGGGCATTCTATAAACAGTAATGACCTGTTCCTCCTCTTGGGAATTGAGAAGAAATAATCTGCAGTTAGAAGTTTAGGCAGGATGTAACAAAATTCTTTTGTTAACACAGGAAGGGTTATGCTTGATCCTGCCACGTGCTACAGAACTAGATGAACTTGCAAGGCCTGTCAGTTTTCAGTTTCTAATCTAGTTACATTAAACAAACTTTGGAGTACTTTGATAGTGTTTGCAGTCTTAGCAAATCTCTGCAATGTGTTTCACACATCTACATGTTCACTTGTTAAGCAAATATTCATTGTATTTCTGTGTGTCTGTATAAATATCACTTGGTGCTATGACTAAAATTTCTCTTGAGGTGTTAACTGGTAACGATCTTGTGTTTAAGGCCAGGTTGGATGGGGTTTGGGCAGTCTGGCCTACTGGAAGTTGTCCCTGCTTGTGGTAGGGGGATTGGAACTAGATGATCTTTAAGGTCCCTTCAAACCCAAACCATTTTATGATTAACACATTGCAGTTGTTTTGAAACTGCTTATTCTAGTAGGTGTATGTCTGAAAGGTCTATGAGATACATACTGTTAGTTCTAATAGAAAGCACACATACTAATTTTAGTGTAAACTACTGTCTAGGTGATGGCTGGCTTTGATTTTAAACTTCTGATTCCATCTCTCACAGGCAGCCATAAAAGAGGTAGAGTCTCAAGGACCAGGAGCAATAACATCGCAAAGCAAAACTGTGAATGCTGATAAAAATATCAAAGAGAATTTCGAAACAAAACAAAGGTTTGTATTAAGCACTATCCTGCTGAAGGACATGATTGGACAGTAACTTGAAACTCATAGAACTAAGAGTGGGTAGAAGGAGCAACATTTAATTCCAAACTGCTGTCTAATAGAAAACTATGAGCACGTTCTCTATTTTTAAGTATGGACTTTTGTATGGTTAACTTCTGGCATTTACCTCAAATAGCTTGGCATTAAGTTTAAGTACTTGTTGGGGATAGACATAGCATAGGAATGCTTTACTTTTTTTTTTTTTTCATGTTTGATTGAGCTTCTTTTAGTCCTGTCCTCCAAACTTTGGACTACAGCTCATCTGCAGAAGAAAGAGAATAAGGAAAGGGAATCAGTCTGTTACTTTCTCCTTACAGCTAAACCCAAGTTTCTCTTAGTGAGATTACTGTGATGATAGGAATTGGATATATTGTTTCATGATTCTGGCAACATGAACCCTCAGAACGATTACATACTTTTCCAAGAAATGTTGGGGCACTTGAAGCCCAGCTCCTTCCCCCGCCTTTGACTTCATTTTGAAAAAATACTAATATTCTGGGTTTATCAATGCTACTTTTTTCATGGAGAATAAATTGTAGTCCTTAGTTGGGATAGAGCTTGTATTTCTGCTGTTTTATACTTGGAGTACTTGCCCTTGCTTAGTTAAGGAAAATGACTGATGCAGACAGTATGCAGGAAGACAAATCGTAAGACTTTTTTTAAGAAGAACAGTTCCTGACACAATTACATCTGAGAGGTCTGATGAAAGACTTGATTTAAAAAAAAAAAAAGCAAACAAAAAACCAAAAACAATTAAACAATCCAACCAATTCCTAGATTGTGAAGAAGGTATGAAAAAATACATGTGCAGAATGTCACAAATCTTCAACTTTAATGTGTAATGTCTTGTATATTTCTCTTCTGGATATAGGGAGGCAAGGTTAAGAAGCAGTTAGTGTTTGTGTGCCACTGTTTCTGTGCAGAAATGTTGGGATTTTCTTTCATTTAAATATTTTTAAATCATGTAAATGACAAGCTGCTGCCTAGGAAATTATTTTGGGGCTTTTTCTTTTTTAAGGTTAACGAAAGAGCAGCACAGTACTACAGATCAGTCACCTGGAGATGTAAGAGACCCAGCAGTAAGGTAAAATTTTGTTGTTGTTGCTTTTGTTCAAAGACATTTCATGTTCTGAACATTTTTACTTCAGTTCTGTGTTCCTTGCAGGCCTCATTCAGGAGGGAGACTCAAAAAGAGAACTGTTCTTCAGAGTGAGTATTAGCTTATTTCTTACACTTTCAAAACAGTCATGACAGACACTTTCTCCCCCCTTCCCACCCTGCAATAAATGGGTTGGTGGTTTGGTAACTGCTAACTAGTGTGATTAGGTTAATATAAAAATTACTGTGGTGGGAAAAACCATTCTCAATTCTTGTGTGAGGTTTCTGCAAATGTGGATTTCATGGTTGTCACATTTAGAAGCTATGAGGTGGCTTAAGGCTCTCTGGCAACTCATTTTTGCAAAATCAGTCACTATTTTCTGGTTTGCTTGGGGCTTAGTTTGCTTGTTTGCTTTACTGGCATTTATGCCATTCTGTGCAAAAGAGCTGCCAGAGGAAGTACTGAAACTTGTCTCTCACTTCTGGCCTAGGTAATTTGGAGAGGGGTAGGGAACTAAAGAAGCTGGCTGATGGGAAAACCAAAAACCAAATTGTTTGAAAACCAAATCAAAACAAAGTCATGATGTTCGTGCATCTTCTTGGTATAACTTTTTAAAAAGTTACAGCATGGATTATGTATACACTGTTTATAAGTAGGTTCTGAAAAACATTTGGATCCTCTTACTGCAAAGAGATGACACTGTAGCTTCTGCATGTGGCTGTGTTGTACTTGGAAGGGCGAACTCTTAAGGTGCCTTGGATGCTTGGCACAGTAAGAACTTGTCACTTGTTCTGTGGAAATGATGGAACCTGAATACAAAGTATCATAGTTCTTCTGGTTAGTTTCCATTCTCGCTATGTAAAATGAGAGCAGGATGTATAGTAAAAATACTTTTACCAAAGTAACAATGTTTAATTATTATGTGCCACTTTTTACCTAATTGTTTAAAATACAATTCTTCTGTGAGCTTTTCTGCACAGAAAGTGTAGTGACTTTTTTGAGCAACCTATTTTTTGAGTCCTTGGGTAAGGTTCATGTGTATACATATATAAAAGTATATTCATGTATAAGCAGACTGAAATTTTCCCAGTCTGTCAAAGCATATTATGTATGCACATATGTTGTACATTCTTGTCTCATTTAAATGGTAGAATGAAAAACTGCTGCCCTAATGTTGACTCCTCATTGGTCTGGATGTATATTGTGTTCTAGGTTTGAATGGCTTGCAAAATGTGGAAAAACATGGGCATGCTTTGGTTTCTGTCCGAAAAAGACAGGTTTGTATCCATTCTTTAATCTAAATAGATAAAAAATTAATCTCTGCTGCATAAAATTTTATCCCCCTCTCCCCAAACCTCATTTGACTGTCTCCAAAATGCCTGTGTTTAAGATTATCCGTGTTATTCAAGCTGTGCTGCAGATCCTGAAACTGTTTTTTTTAAGTTCCAATTCCTGTCTTTAAAAAAGTAAAGGCCTTTTCTTGTGCAGTCTCAAATATTATTGCTAATGCTTATGAGCCTTTAATTTGTTGAAATACAGTTACTAAAGCTTAGTCTGAGTCTTTTAAAACTTAGGAAAAAACAAAAAATCTTTTGACTGTTTGGATTAAACAATTTAGAATGTCATTCACCCCTGAGAGTTTTGGGCAAATATCAAGGGCTTTTTGTTTTCCCACTTAGAAGGCTAAAGATTTGGCAATTTTATAATTCAATACTTTGTTCATATGAAGTGAAAACATGTATTTTCTTGGGAAGCTGATGACAGAATTCCCTATTGGTGGGAAGTACGGAAGTCTATGCCTTAATAGAAGGCAATTTGAAGTTGATTTGATGTTGGGGTGCACTGTTACAGACTGATTTTTGCATATATGAAACTTTATTCACTTCTCATGATAAAATGATAAGCACTTCTGAATGAAATTAATATTAAATGTATCCCTGTTCTTGAATTCCTCTTGATAATATCTCTTAGGAAGCAATATGGAGTCTTTCTGTTTAGATGATAGTGCAAGTTATCAACATACCTCCATCGGTTTCATTTTTCTCTTGTGTATTTTGACATTTAGTTTTTCACAGAACAGGGAAGGACAACCATTCTTACATTTTTCAGACTGTCCTTGAGGAGGGTCGTACTTATTCCTATTTCTTTGATCTTTTTTTACTGAAGTACTTGTTAAATCTTCAGTTACATGCTGTCCTCAAATTGCTTGAAGTCCTAATGAGAACTTATCTGTCCTTGGAGGTGAAGCCACCTGCTATATATAAACAGTTTTTCGCTTTCTTATTGCCCTGGGTTCAGCTGTAATAGTCATTTTTCTGATTCCTAGTAGCTGGTGCAGTGCTGTGTTTTTCAGCTTTAGTCTGAGAACAATGCTGGTAACACACTGATGGTTTTAGTTGTTGCTCAGTAGTGCTTACCCTGATCAAGGACTTTTCAGTCTCATGCTCTGCCAGTGAGAAGTGGCACAAGAGGGCAGGAACAAGCAGAGACAGGACACCTGACCTGAACTAGCCAAAGGGATATTCCATCCCACAACAGGTCATGTCCCGTATATAAACTGGGCAGAGTCATCTGGAAGGGCAGATCACCGCTCAGGTCAGGCTGGGTATTGGTCAGGGGGCGGTGAGCAATTGTATTGTGCATCACTTGTGTTTATTGTTTTTTCCTTTCCCGTTTTAGTTTTATATTCTTTCAGCCTTTCCTCATAGGAGAAATGCTGCAGTCCCCTAATCATCTTTGTAGCCTTCTGCTGGACCCTTTCCATACTGGACCCAGTATTGATCCTTGGGAGACACTTTTAGTTACATGTCTCCAGCTAGACTCTGCCATTGACCACAACACTGAGACCTGCCATTCAGCCAGTTCTCGATCCACACATCTCACTAGAAAACAAAAAAGAGGTGTTGTGTGTTTAATTCTGTGGTTACATTTCAGTTAAAGCTGAACTATAAACGCTAAATTTATAGAAAGCTACCATCTGATAGTAGCAAAGAACTCATTAAAATTTCATAAAAACTTGAAAGAAATTGATTCAGAACTGTTTCTTTAAACACTTAGAAAAGTAGGCATTTGCTGTCTGTGTGGTATTTCAGCCACACGCCCTGACAGTGGGACCTCATAAATATTGTATAGAAAACAATGATAATTGGTCTTTTAGACAATAAATCTGCTCCTCCTCTTAATAATCTGTCTTACGTGTCTGCATGCATGAAAGAGTGTTGTGAGTGGCAGAGCTGTTGACTTCTAGAACTTCCTTTTCCATGTAGTCCCTCTTTCAATGTTGGCATTGTTTTCTCTCGTTTTGTAAATGACATTTCATTGCAGTGGTTCAGTGCCCTTTTTCACCCTTTCATTGCTGTGTTTTCAGTTAGCTGCATACAACAATCTGCAGTGCTATTGAAAGGAATGGTACTTTATTTTCTTGTTCCTAAATTAGGGGATGCAGGTGTCATAGGATTTGGGGAACTGTTTGTACTCAACTTTATATGCTGTATGTGTATGGTAAGTCCTGTGAGTTGTCTGAAATCTGACTGACAGTTTGCTTAAAGAGTGTGTCTGACAATTTGGGTTTTCAGAATTTAATCACACTTGTATGGAAAAAAAATCCATGTATTTAAATTGGGAAGAAAAAAAGAAATCAGAGCAGTCCCAGAATGCACAACCAAAAGAAGACAGGTTACTAGAGTAGAACTGACTCTTAAGAAATAACAAGATTTTCAGATATGTTGGGGTATGTCTACAAGGTCTGTCTGGCAAACTTAAGCTCTGCCAGCGTTCTGAGCTAGCCGAATGTCATATTGCTCTGGACTAGGCACTGTGGTTATGTTAGCTCAAGTATAGTGCTGTATTATGTCCAGTCTCCCACCCAATCTTGGTAGCTTTTAACAGTGGAATGCAAGAGTCTACATAACAGCCACCCCAGAGCGCACAGGCAGTGGCAGTGCTGGGGGGAATAAGTTACTGCTCAATGCAGTTACTCAGTGGAAAGGAAATGAGTTATTTCCTGGTTTACCTGTTAAGCAGGTTCTTCATCTATATGTTAAAGCAGAAGAAATTTGTTTTTAAAAATATTCAATATAAACAATTTAAAACCAAAACAAGCAAAATCCAACCCTTTTAGAAGCAAATGTAACAGGTAACAAAGGTTGTGATTGTCTCTGTTGCTGGAAGTGTTTGAGTTATCTGCTGCTGTATGTCAAGTATAACTGTGTTACTTGAATAAAGATTTTTGTTTAGGAAAGTTTTCTGGCATGCTCTGAAATGAGATTAACTAGATGGTTCCAGTGGAATCTCTGGCCTTTTAATAAGAGTAAAAAACCTACCATTCACTGCTAATGTTGCAGAATATCTGTGGAACAGGAAGTATTGGGAAAAGCAAGTATTTCTGATAAAAGCTGAACTACTTTACAAATGGGTTAGGTTTTTAACTGTTTAGAAATACAGCTGAACTACTACCACTCATGGTTCCTTCACTGCTTAGTAAGGTTTATCAGTGATCATAGTTTCTTGAAGAAGCACTGCTAGTTCCATTAAGCTGGGATAAGTCCAACTTTCAGATGTGAATTTTGATCTTCATATACCTCAGCTTACACTTTGTGTAGATGGCAAATTTTTACTTGATGCAGGATAACCAGAATACAGTTTTGATAGTGCTGAATGTTATCTAACATTTTTCCCCTTGCCTTACCCCAGGAGACCCCTCCTGCCTTTCACTTCTGAGTGCTGCTGCCATTTTTAGCAGCTTGATTTCAAGGGAAGGGAGGAGGCATGTAGAATGGCACCCAAATTGTCACCTGGCCCATCTTTGATGCCTGAATTAATGCTTTTAAGAGCCAAGTTTCTTAAGGATCCTGAGAAGAGTTCTAGGTCATTAGAATAGGAGACAGGAAAAAAAAAAGTATATATTTATCCGTTTGATAGTTGGAAGTGATCTGTTACTTACAGGTGGACATCTTGTATGTACTCTGTTAAACCTCTCTCTTCATCCCCCAACCTTCAGCTTCAGGCATTTACAGCTCCTATCACTCTTCTAGTGTTCTATAGATACCTGAGGATTTATTAGCACATGTACTCTTTGGGAGCCCCTATAAGGCTCTACAGGTTTAGTTATGAATTTATTGTTGTAGGCATATTAGCAAAGGATCGGTCCCTCATTACATAAGGATTATACACGTTCAGTCTGGGGAATACTCACAGCTCAACCAGATTCTCCTGGCTACAGAACCGTTGAGGGATGTTAGCAGTGGCTGTTTCCTCTGATAACCCTGACCCAGCACCCTCTTGCCTGGCTGCTGGGATCTCACGCAGGGTCCCTTCTCAGGCTGGGAGACATCGCTGCTGCTTTCCCATTTGCAGGTTTACCTGGTAGTGGAGCTGAGCACAAATCCTAGAGGCGCACTGACACTGAAGGAAGAGGGAGGGGGACACACAAAGAGAATGCTGACATGGAGTGGTCACAGTCACCCACAATGCCACCCACATGTGGTTACCCATGTAAGATGCACAGCCAGCCAAGTCACTTACTCTTCTCTGGTAGGAAGTGTAAGTTCACTGGTAAAAAAGCACACGTGCCCCTGACCATTTGTCTCTTTTCATAAATTACTATGGTCCATGAGACCATCATGAGCGGCAGGACATCTCCAGTGCAAGAAGCAGAAGTGAGCACAGATAGATTAAATGGAACAGTTACACAATACAGCTCCTGGTTTTTCGTTGATGATGCGCAATTCAGTTTGCCTAAGGAGGTGTACTGATTGTAAATCAGTATGATTAGTTGTGTATTAAGCAAGCAAGGATTTGAAAACATTATCAGAGGATCAGATTGTAGCAGAATAAGTTGTTTTAAAATCATTTCATACTAAAATTCCTTATTGCTATTCCAGAGTGGAAAAAATGACTCTGTAATTCAGTGGTTAAAAATAGGCATGATGGATATGTAGGATTTGTAAACTTTTGTTATCTAAATATATATGTGTTTCTATAAAGCTACAATAAAAGAGTTGATGCTCAGTTCTTCCTCACACTTTACTTTAACGACAAGCTTTCAAAAATCAAGTATTTGAGTATTTATTTTTTTTTTTAATCAGTTTTCCCCTCATTCTGTGTGCAGTCTTAACAATTGTATTGAGATATTTATATCAAGAAGCAACTAAAGAAGAACTGGTACACTGGCAGACTTCATTGGAAGGGATTGCTTACAGATGTATAAGAGCAAGTAATTTTCTCTCTCCTGTGAGAGAAATGTCATTCCCTAAAACTTGCAGGTCATGACAGTGAGACTTAGGTGGTTGTCTCAACAAATGGCAAAAAACAAATGCATAGCTGTTAACCTGAAGATGTGGCTGATCTCACTTTCAAATGCAGTATATATCATTTTTGTTTCTATCAGCATTTTAGACACTAGGGTGTTTTTTCTAAGTACATTGAAGTTCCTTTGTTGGTAAATGGTGTCTTGATCCTTAGTCTGTAGGTTAATGTGTTACAAAATGCTTTCTCTTTTGTGATGCATACTAGGATCAATCAAGATTTGTCTTGGCTCAACTAGGTAATAAGGTACAATTTTGGAAAGCAAGTTTTGCACAAAGCAAAACTTTTTCTTGTCTTTTCCTCCTCCATGTGAATGTTGAAGCATGTGATTCTCATTCCAGGTGATGTCTGCTACTGTGTTGTTACATTGACTTGGTAACCTTTGCTTTTGTGTTTAGCATCAAGTTATAGAGCTCAAAAGAAATCAAAATGACCCTACTGACCCCTCAGACATCCACACTGTAATAGTCTACTAATAACTAGAGAGCTGTATAAGAACTTGCTTTTATGTTTTCTATAAGCTTAGCTTTTACATTAATACATTTCTCTGTATATCTAATATTTTTCTTTGTTCTTCCCCTAGCGATGGACTTACAAAGAAGATTTGCAACTGAAATTAGGAGTAAAAGAGTTTGGAGTGGGTAACTGGGCTAAAATTTTGGTCCATGGTGACTTCAACAACCGAACTAGTGTCATGTTAAAAGACCGATGGAGAACACTGTGCAAGATCCATCAAGGCTAATTTGGACTAGAGGACTCAACTCTTATTAACCTTTCCCTACATAAGGACCTAGTCTGTCTTTTCAGAATACTAACTTATTTCAGTCTCAGAGTGTCCAGCAGTGTTGCTGTCCTAAAATATGGAACAGAAAAGTAATAGATATTAAACGTTCATGTAAGCTTGTTTGCTTGTGTAGTGATGACTTAAATGTGTGTAGGTAAAAGGCCATGCTTTACAATAGATGACCTAATTTCTGAAATGGGAAAATGCTTGCAGTGGTTTAAGAAAGGTCAGTTATGTACATAAAAGTATTAAATGCCTGGCAACATGTTTGGATTGATAGTCAAATGTTCTGTATTTTTAAAGTGGTGTATCTCTAGTCAGATTGAGCTTTTTAGTATTTTACTTCCTGCCAGTCTGATTTGCTTCACTTTGGAATTTTGATCAGATTTGTCATTTCTCTCAGCAAGTTATACAAAGAAAATATGTATGTATCGGTATTGCTCATTTTACAAACCAATTCCTTTTCTTGCACTCAAAAATGTGATACTCCATGTAATTTCTTATTTATAAATAGTAAAGGTGAGGGCAGGGGGGGGTGGTTCGTTTGGACGGGGGGATTAAGAATGAAGCTTTAAGCTGTAGGTGGAAGGTTACTTTGAACTTATGTATACTGGCTTAATACCATCTCATCTCACAGGAGAGATGGAAAACATGGAAAGTAACAGTATGATGCTAGCACTTAACAGCTAACATCTCTTGATTATCTTGTGTCACCTACCTTGTCTTAAGAAGTGGCTTCTTCTAGACCAGCAGGAAAAGGAAGGCTTGAAAACAGATGGCCGAAGTGGAGCTCAATAACAAGTCTGTACTGACACTGGTAGCACAGCTCATGACACATGTTTCATTTGTGCTCTCCACTGTCTCTGGATGCAGTTATAGCAAACTAAGATATGCTCTCATAGAGGTAACTATCAAGGTGTCACTGTTAATAATATTCATGAAAGACTATAATGGATAATGGTACTAGGTTGTCTCTCTTGATTCAGATTGTGTAGAGAAGGTTCCACAACCTCAGAAAACCCATACTTTTCACTATCATGCTGGTGTGAATCTTTGGACTTAAACTAACATATCACAGCATTCTTTCAAAAAGGAAATCAATTCAGAGGTTTTCTGTACCTTTATCCTTGGATAAGATTTTTTTTTTTACAAGAACCTTACAAGGAAAAGCATCTGTCCATACTGGTCATAATAAACCTCCCAGATATTTTTCCTGGCTACAAGGAAGACATATATTCCTGCAGGCTGAAATGTTCAGGAAGTATTAAGAAATCTCTCTGCTTTCTGTTTTGGAGGCCTGCTTCCATTAAGATTATATACTTAGTCAAGTACAGTTACAAAGGTTTGTTTCACACACTATTGTGGACAAGACCTCAGCCAGATCATCTTCCTCATTCTTTCCAACAGATGCTACAGTTTCTTCTTGCAGCTGGTAGAAACAGCCTAGTCTATAGGTTTCACAGAGCTGCTGCATGTCTTAACTGTACATTTTCTCAACCTTAAGTCATCATTTTTTTTTATTCTTTTTTTTAGCAAACATTATGAATTTCAGGATTTTGATGAAATACAGGCATTGTCCTTCAGCAGGGAATGCTAGAGCAGCTGTAAGCCAACAACTGAAAAAGTCTTAGCAGGTATCTGACAACTAAGAAAGTGCAGTATGCTGCCTCTTTAATGCTGTAACAATAAGTCAAGGTAAGTAATAGCAAAACATGGATTTGAGCTACCTGAGTAGCAGTCTTGCCTGTGCTTTAACATTAATGCTCTGTGCTAATCATTGTGCGTGAGCAGTTTTAACTAGTAATAAGTAATTTTTTAATGTCAGCCAAGGCTTTAGTCACAAAGTTTTGTTTAGGTTCATCTGCCATAAAGTTCACACTATGTATTAGTGACATGAAGTTCTGAGCAAGGCTGTTTAACAACGCTGGTTTGTCATATGTCTTCTATGAAGGTGACTGGATATGAAAACAGCAATGTAGAGGAAGAATACTTGTAGTATAAACAACTGTCTAGATGATACTGGGAAGGAACAAAGGTTCTAAACTGAAATCCTGTTTTAGCTCTCCAACATTAATTTTTATTCACCTTGCTATTTAATGATGACTGTGACTGTTCTGTCTTGAAAATGTTTGGCTCTCTACTGAGTAGGCACAATGCCTGTAGACAGGACTGTGGCCAGTAAAGAACAGGAACTTCAGGAAAAGCAGCTACTATGTTTAAAAACATTACCTCTTTAATTACAAAAGAGAAACATGGAAACATGCTTCTAGTGTTCTAATACAAAGATCAGTCTTAGTGTTTTGTGTTAAGGCAGAGAGTGTTTCCCAAAATGCTTCTTCAAAAGTTCCGATTCATTTAAAATTTGTCTAGGCTCCAGACAGTGCAGCAGAAAGATGTGGGTTTCTTGGCATTGGTTAATTTTCTTAACCTTTTTGTTGTTGCTGTTTTAAAGGTCTTTTAGACTTTCATGTAAAAATAAAGCTATGCACAAGGGGACATGAGCAGTGCTCCAGCTGCCGAATCTTCCTCCAGGTTCCTTGACACTGAGAGTTGCCAACTGCTTCCCAGTGTAAGATTTTACCTCTGAAATGTGACAATAAGTGAGGATTAAAAAGCTGAAAAATCTGTATTTCAAGTTACTAGATTGTGTTGTATAATACGTCAAAGATTAGATTTGCTTAATAATATTTAGTTATCTCTTCTAGCGCTTAAAATGCTTTCTGGAGCAGACACTGTATTCCTAAGTCTAGTATACGGGATGGTGGATTGAGTAGCTGGTTGTACAGGTATTAAGTATTGTGCATATTAATAAATGTATAAAGCAAATAAAAATCTGTTCTGAATATTAAATGTCTACTTTCAAAATTACTGTTCTAGAAACGAGATTTCCAGGTTTGAGAGGAGTTGTGCTCCACCACCATTAAACCTGAAATAAGATTTGGATTATGGCAGGGAAGACTGGGTTTAAGTAAAAGTGCCCATTGCTGTAAAAAGACTTCTTGCACTACAGACCTGCATCACCCTTTCACAACAGTAAATCATTCAAAGCACTGAACTCTTGAATACTGAAATTCTGACATTTTGAAGAATTGAAATCTCAAAATAATGAAATTCTTCCCCAGTTTTATCTGGGTAACAATTCATGTGAGAACTGAAAGGGTAAATCTTCTGAGCTCTACAAGTTTCAATTTTTAGGTATAATAATATAAAATGCAGCTTTTAATGACACCTTGAGAAGTCTTTGCTACAGAAAAGACAGCAGAAAAAAGACTTGTTACCCATCTGCATTATGGCCATCTCCAGAACAACGAAGTGTGTCAGCATTCATAGCTGGAGACTGGCAAGCTACACACACAGTATATCCTACTCGGAGGTACTGCATCCATCGAGCGTACGGCCGATTCTCCAAAGCACAGTGCTGTGAAAGTGATTCTGTTTTGAATTCCACACAGTATCTGCTCAGAAGGAAAAGTACCAAGTTACAATAGATAAAGCACAAGCTAGGTATACATTTTTAAATGTACTTACATAGCATATGTGTGGTATTTGAAGCGCAAGTTAGACATGGTCATTGCTAACAAATCTGTTTCTGACCCTCACCTAATCAGTGAATTCTTAAAAACATTGCAAAAAAATATTTTTCATTCCATGCCCCAGTCCAGTGCTTTTTGTATGATCTCAGTTTCTGGTTGTGTTTTATATTCTCTAATTATGTTGAAAAGAGATCTCAGTAACCCATATATTTTCTTTTATGCTGCTAAAAGAAAAAGTGGAAAAGAAACTTGAATACTGATGGCTTTATTGTTCTGGGGGAAGTAGCACAGAGCAAAGCATTAAGAGTATTACAGACCCAGTAACAACCTAATTTAAATCAACATTTCTACTGGTAAACAATTTTTTTTGTTCTGTGTCAATTTTAAAATGGTCTCTCATTACTGATTAGATTCCGCCCATTTCCTTTGTTGAAAGAACTATATGGAATTTCTAAGACACTTATGGGTACATTCAGTTTTGGTTTAGCATTAATTACTGTTTGCTTTCAAAAGCAGCTATCCTGATTTGCTGTGACCCCAATGTCTAATCCAGGACAATTAAGAGTGTAATCAAAAGCAACATCTAGAAAGTGCAAATGAACTGCAGGAGAGGGAATCGGTGAAAGCTATAAATTACTGTTTAATTACTGTGCTTTCAGTTACATTTTTATCTGTAGCCAGCTATTTTCTACTGAGCAAGATGACCCACATGAATATAATAAATAGATTACCCAGCTTCTTCTTTGTCTGATGGCCAGAGAGAAGATGCTGCTCGTCGTTTTCTTTCTTTACCATATTCAGAGGTAGTTATGAAAGCAGGGACTGAGAAAGAAAACAGTTACAGTAAGGCAGCAAGGCAACTGAGTCATGTTTCAATTACTGGAACAGTGGGTGAATGAATCAGGAGTTTGTGGATGGTGATGGTGACTGACTGTATTGAAAAAGTGGCAAAATGTTGGCAACATCAGACCTCAACCCCATTCTCTCCAGCTAAGCTCTTCCTTATTCAAAAGAACTATATCTAGAAACACATGCCATCTAGTTTCTGTAGAAACAGAATGTGATGGGATCTTGCAGCGAGATGTTTCCTGTTGTAACTTTGCACAGAGATCATTTGATACTTCCTGAGGGGCTTAAATCAAGAAACTGAAGGAATGCATGCAGCTTTGCTGTTTACTTAATAGAAATTAAGAAAAGCCTGAGTAGGAAAAAAAATATAAGAATATAATAAAGTGCAATATGACAGTAGAAAGTAAGATTTTAAATTGTACTGTTAAGCAGTTAGATGCAGATGGATGCTTTTTTTTCTGTTCATGAGGATGGTGAGACACTGGCCCAGGCTGCCCAGGGAAGCTGTGGCTGCCCCATCCCTGGCTGTGTTCAAAGGCAGGTCGGATGGGACATTGAGCAACCTGGTCTAGTGGAAGGTGTGCCCTGCTGATGGCAGGGGGTTGGAGCTAGATGATCTTTAAGGTCCATTCCAACCTAAACCATACTGTGATTCTATGATCAGTAAATTTATGAAATCAAATAAGAATACCATGCTCATGGCCGCAGTCCTCTCCCTGGTAAGTCAGGTATTCCAGGCAGCCAGCCTTCTCCTCTAGAGCAGGACAAGGTTCCCCACCATTTCTAGGTTCCTGTTGTACATAGCGCCTACGTATCCGCAGGTCAGGTTGACATTGTGCTGCACAGCCACTCCAGTGACTCCACTCCCCCACAGCACAGGGAAGAGCTGCAAAGCAG